TCAGGTTGACTTTCACGCGGTCCATCAACCAAATGAGTGACACCGTTGTCCACACATTGTTGAAAACGAGGTCACTCATTTGGTTGATGACACAGTCCCCATGGAAACCATTTCGGTTATTTACTGGCGCTTTTAATGGCGGACCAAATTACCTAACTACATTCTTATCCAACCATGCTTCACAGTCCTTCCCTCCAATCGATTCCGCGTCCAATTCAATCGAGAATCGAAATTACCACGGCCTGAGCAACAATACTTATATTAAATGTGATGGATAGTCCGAAAAAACACCACAGTTCCTACAGTACCATATTTTTCCATACAAATACATATATATATATGTATATATATCTAGCAAGTATTTTCCTTCGTTAATTCGTTTAATTGGTACCTTTTATTGCTCAAAGGCCAAATTGACATTGAGACTGTATTTAGCTGTCAATTTGTTTACTTTAAATGTTCAACTCGTTAAGTGCTCGCTAGGGAATGTAAGAGTTTAGAGTCTCTCGCCCGCGGGCTATGGACGACCGACATACTCATCAATTTCATCATTGTAAACGGTATATGGTATAATATAACCAAAGATAAAAGAATTACATAATACAATTTTTATTAAAGAATTTATAGAAACATAGCGATATATGACGAAATAGTACTTGCGACTTCCTTTGTGCGGAATTAAACTTTGTTTTTTATTAATATAAATATTATTTTAAAAATATAAGTAAGCCTAAGTTTAAGGCTGTATACGAATAAACATATCGTCGACTATTTTTTTTTTCCCTAATTCGTCCATCTCCTTTTCAACGATGGAACAGGCAAAGATCCTTAGACCGTACCGCCTTATCGTCGATTAAATAGAAAATGTCATTTTTCAAAATTAGAAACTAAAATTGCCTCCTTTTATATAAGTCAATTAAATTAACCACGCCGTCTTAGTCATTATCTAAATACTTTTAAAATGATATATAACACTTCAGTGTAAATATAAAACTTTAAAGAAAATATAATATAAATAAATTTTAAAACTTTAAATGCTTGTCTACAAGATAAGACAAAAATGTACATTTTGAATACAGCCATTTTTCTATTTAACCGACGATATGTCAATTGGCTGTCTGCTAGAAAAATTATTAGATAAACTGTGATGGATAATATTGTATGTATTATGTTTGTATGTCGGTTCTTTATGTGCAGAAGGCTATTGCATCTACTCTATGACTATGTAAAATGAATCTATGCAAAAAAGAGTAAAATAAAATCTTATATTTTTCTTGTCACAAAATTAACAAATCGAATTTCTATATATTATTTTTAAAGTAAAAAAGTGGCTTTTATGCCGCCAATAATAAACCATGAAGTCCACAACATAAACGTTTGCTCTGCAATTTTATTTAAATACACATAATATAATCCTGATAAAGTTACTCTTTAAAACATTTGCTACCTGCGAGTGAAATTCCCGCCAAAATCGATCCAACCGTTACGGAGATTAGCAAGAACAAAAAGACATTTTGTAAATTCCGTCTAATCTTATGCAGTTTGCGAAAAGATTTTAAAATTACCTTAGAATTTGTTAATTGACATAGCATTTAATTTAATTATATGGATAACGTAACACGCCGATTATTGAACTATGTATTATCTGTGGTAATGTTATGATCTGTGACTGGACTAAGAAAGACGGCCTTGGTGGTCTGGTCTAGCGGTTTAACACGCCTTACTTCTGATGGCCGACTTCGATTCCTCGCACGATACAAAGATTCGTATTTTTGATTATGATTATATGCATTCGTCTCGATTTTTTTTATGGAAGTGTGCACCCGCCTGCGCTAACGGTTTACTCTGACGACACCAGTGGAAGATGATAAGGTAAGTATGAGGTCAGGCCAGTTAGCTCATCGTGACAAATTCACGAAGAATTTATCACGATGGTTTCCAGTGGGAACCGCGTGGAGGTCAAGCTGGCGTGGTATATTGCTAGCAATGAGATCATTCCACATTACTAACAATTCCCTTTCCGCCCCTAGATATTTATAATATGTATTTACAAAAATGTGTATTAAAGTATTTTTATCAGTTCCCAAGCTCTGCTGGGCTAAGACTAGACGGAGTGAATGGGAGTGAATTGTCCAGGGTATTATATAATAAAATAACTACTCGCCCCGGCTACGCACGTGTTATATATATCTACTAGATAATAGATTCCTATTTACTTATATATTCGTATTTTAGTAGTCTTTTAGAATTTCATTAAAAGTCCTGTTTTATGTTTTTTAAGTTCTTTATCACTACATAGTATAAAACGAAGTCGTTGTCGTCGTCTGTCCGTCCCTATATATTTCGAAGCTGTTTTTTTTAACAGATAGAGTGAGTCAAGAGGAAGGTTTATATGTATAATAAATACATGTACATCAGGGCGAAGGCGGGACGAGTAGCTAGTATAATATAAATACAGTCTATGATTGTAAACTCCGATCGATTCCCCGTCCAATTCAAACGGGGACCGATGTTACGACGGACTGAGTCGAGGTTCGAATCCCTAGCGGTGCCCTCAGACTATAGTATTCGTCAGGCGGGAGTTGGCCTTCAGCCGCTCCACAAGTCCTTCCGCGCGTTTGGAGTGCCATCTGCACTCGCCCCCTATCGTCCGGTGAATCTATAAAGGCCAGCTGCGGCCAACAGCATTAGAGTAGTCCGAAAAAAAATTGTAACGTACTCTGTGCAATTGAGTCTGTATTGAAAAATGGCGGGAATCGCCAAATTAAATGTGAAACGCAAATTACCTTCTTATTTCAATACAGTACAATAAAAGAACAAGACGTTAAGCGTTATGCCTGAGTCTGGAGTAGTCAGGACCCTAGAAACAATAAGTGAATTTAGGGGGATAGTTAGTAATATGAACTAATAGTACCTATTTTATAATACATCATCATTTCCTCTGCAGTTTTTGGCAAACTGAAGACGAAACGCCACTACACATCCTATGTGGTTGTAGCCCACTCATGCATAAACGAAATATCTCCTTTGGAAAGTGTACACTCTTTCCCGAGATAAAAACCATCGCTTCTAAGAATATCAATTCTTGTCACCGACGGGTCTAGGTAGCGAACTCTGAAAAAGGGCGAGCACAATAGATCTATGTAGGTCGCAGTGCTACAGGTGCTACAGGCACCAGACAATAGCCCAATAACCCAATAAACAAAAAATGAAAAAGAATCATTATTTCCGCCCGGAAATGATGATCGTAACATTTAGATCTAAATGAATTGAAACAAGATTAGTGTTTTATAAAAAAATTGTATAATACACAAAGATCCCACATACATAGTATATTATAACAAATAAGTAATTCGCAGGTACACATACAAACATGGTAGGTTTTAATTAAGCACTTAAAATACAATTAGTGGCGTAGTTAGGTAACCAAAGGCCCTGGGGCAAATCAAAAATAGGGCCCCACTACTCAGCAGCGGGGCCCTACATTAGTTTTATTAAAACGCACATATCGCTATCACTCAAGTCGGGTTGCAATCTGTCATATTTATTTTGAAAATGGGAGAAATTTCAGTACGATCGAGATTTTCTGGTAAGGGTTCATGGGCCCCTGAGCTTGAGGGCCCCGGGGCACTACCCCGCCTAGGCCCTAGGTAGCTACGCCACTGAATACAATATGTTAATACTTAGGACTAAAAATCTGATAATGTACAATATTTATATGAGCAGTAAATTACTTCACGTTGTACAAAACAAATTGTTAAAAATTATTATGATATAATACTTATATGTTACACAAATATTCCAAACTATAAAGTAGCTTCGGTTGTCTAGGTGTTTAGCACACCGCTTGACTGCCCCTTCAATCGATCCCCGTCGAATTCAAACGGAGATCGAAATTACGACGGCCTGAGTGGCGGTTCGCACTCCTAGCGGTGCACTCAGACTAGTCATATCCGTCAGGCGGGCGAACCCCTAGCGGTGCCCTCAGACGGGATCTGGCTTTCAGTCGCTGCATAAGTCGTTAAGCGGGTTTGAAGTGCCATCTGCACTTACCCCCTATCTGTTAAGACTAGCAGCAGTCAACAGCATTAGTCCGAAAAAAAACCACTTTATTACCCATCGGTAATCTGCTAGTCTTGACAGATAGGGGGTAAGTGCAGATGGTCGCGGGTTAGATTCCTCGCATGGCATTTGTATTCATAAGTATGCAGTCTTACAGTCCTAATCAAAAGCAAGGTCTTCATTCTTGAGTGTGAATTCCGAATGAGTGCTAAAATAAAAAAGAATATCAAATGTTCAAACATTATTTTTTAAAAAGCTTACCAGCCGATATTATGGTTACTGCACAAAAAAGCAGAAACAAAAATGATAATAAATCCTTATTTTGGGATAAAGTTAGTATTATGTATTATGGTCATATATCAAGTACATACAGCAATCAGTTTGTTCATGATATGTATATATATATATATATATATACATTAGTCATTACATGTGAATAATCATTATTCTTTATACATTTGATGAGTGTTGATGTCATACACATACATACACTTACATGCAATGATATAAGTGTATATATGTGTATGACATCGACACTCTATATCTACAAAAGATAGCAAAGTAAAAAATAAATCATAAAAGATAAGCAAATTTGAATTAATAATAAGTTATCAAAAGTTTATACTCAGTAACTATTACTGTATAAAATAGTTTTTTTTTATAAATTAGAATTAACCTTTGTACCAAATATGATTAAGTCTTCTAACAAAGAATAACTTGGAACTGCTCAGACACCCTCATATAATAGACCCGACTTTTGTATGGTAAATCCATGGAGTACGAAGAAGTTGGGTTATGGTTATGCATTGAGTAGTGTCAAGATTTGACTGATGGAAAAGGGAATGATGGAGAACCATATTAAGTGGCAAGACCTCCACTAGCAAGGCTCTTGGTAACTCTCTCTTATTACACATTAAAGAATGCCTGTCACTGTGTTAAGGTGCACAACGACCCAAATGAAGAAGCTAAATGCAGAGTATACAGTCCATATTAGGGTTAAGTATGCTTAATAGCCACTGCTTTCCATCCGGTGGCTATCACTCGCTTGTCAATCCAAGTATACAAAAAAGCACCTAAATATTTACATCAATAAACACAATACTAACAAATTCAGTCTCTAAAATACTCCTGGCTATCTTCTATTGTTCCCACGCTGGTGTCCCCGACCCCGCACATAAGTCTTGTGTGCATGCTTGTTGTGGTCCTGGGAATTAGGGGGGAAACGGTCAGACTTGGGCGGATGCTGCACGCCGCTAGAGGGAGGCCCGGACGGCTGATTCTGGGGCTGGTGGACGCGCGGCGCGGTGTGCGCGCCATTGGTGCGATCCGACGCTGGCGCGGTCATACCAGCCGCTGCAGACGGCGGCGGCGTCGGCTGCGGCTCGCTCATATTCACCTGTTCATTGAACAACATGCAGAATTCTCCAACCTTCTGAATGTCACCGGATTTACCAGAATAAAGCGTCAGCGCGGCACGCCAGAGTGAGGCGTAGCCGCGCGTGAGCCGTACGATATCACCAGGCTGCAGCAGCGCACCAGGCTCGTCCCAGACTGACAGATTCACAGAGGCAGTGGCGTCTGCGACACGTAGCGTGCGAACCTCGCGCGCTTCCTTCGTCAACGTTGGCGGGCCCACTTCTAGTACTATAAACACGGCGTTGATGTTCTTCATACCAGGCTTCAGTTCTTTAATTTGCACATACTCCATAGTACTCATGTTGAGACTAGTATTTCTTACCAAGTCTATCATTAAATTTTATACAGTGTCAGTAGTGACACCGGCACCGAAGGTTATTGATTTTTATTTCATCTCTAATATATCAATTACATCGAAAATATTATCTTTTGAGAATAAAATAACTCAGTTATAAACTATAAAATTAAAATTTCATTTAAAAATAAATTAACAGTGATTATGGACATATTTTGAAATAGACAAATGCGATTCTATGTACACATCTGACATTGACGTTGCTCTGGACATTGCGGTTTTGATTGACATTGTGACAACTCGTATTTCACAGTTCGTTATTAACAATAAACAAATCATTACGATTATTCTGTGCTCCGTAGCGTGCGGTCTGACAAATGTGACAATTCATTTTGAATTTGATTTGAAATAAAATTTAAGTAATTATTGAACCCGACAGTGGTAGATGAAAAATTAAAAATACAAATAAAATATCATAAACTTATCGAACTATTTGTTCTAATATATTTTAAAATACATAAAACTAAAGTGTTCTTAGTGTAAAAATAATTGCTTTGATTTTTATCATAAACTACAAAATTGAACATTGTTATCTCTTGTTATTGGTGATAATTATTAAAACAGCATCATGTTTAATCAACTGGGAGGAGCTACGGGCAATCCCAATCCGAACAACGATCTAGAAGTCAGTTCACCCCCAGAAGACACGGTTTCAGCCCTGGAATTCTCGCCAGCGTCCGTTCCCCAGACGTTTCTCATCGCAGGCAGTTGGGACTGTCGGGTATTGTTACTTTTTAATAAAATGTTTTAGGTGAATAGTAGCGTTATTGAAGATAAAGTGCGTCAAGTCGACCTCCACGCGGTTTCCCCCGGAAACTGCCGGCATTAGTTCTTGCTTGATTCGCCTCTGCAGACTAACTGACGTAACTTCATGTTCATCTTAACCTCCACTAGTACCCGCCAGCACTACCGTTAGCATAGGGGGGTGCACTATTTGATTATCATTCATACAAGAATATATAACCTCTTAAAATCTGATATAAAATCTTTAAAACCAGAATAATTAATTGCAGGGAGACAAAGTGAAGGATGACTAGTAGTCCCCATTACTAAAATCCCTCCCCCTTCATAATAATATTGCAGTCTTTCTTTCCCAAATTTAGGGAACATTATATGATCTATAAAAGTGCCCACAACTCAGTGCCCGTTTTGCATAAGCTTTCAAATCCTCGGAACTGTGAGGTCGCTCCGTGAAGCCTGTGAAGACACCAGGAGACTTCTGCGCTTCTGGGAGGAGCTTGGCTGGCTACTTTAGCCTGGCTCTACACGCACAACAACCCAAATGAGAGGCCAATTGCGGACTCCATTCTCCGCAATTCTCTCCATTGAACTCTGTCTTCCGCAACCCTATTCCAGAACAGTCCCAGAGTCCAGTTGTTGTTGTTCTAACATGTTCTATGGGTGGGAACGGGATTGTTAGTAATGTGGATTGATAACCCACATTTCTGTCAACATACCATGTCAGATTGACCTCCAAGTTGTTCCCCCTGGAAACCATCATGTTAAATTCCTGGTGAATTTGTCACGATGGGCTAACTGACCTGACCTCATAGTCATCTTATCATCCTCTACTGGTGCCCTGCCAGCATATACCGTTAGCGCAGATGATGGCACCATTCCAACCATTTCCATTCAACCCTAAAAAAACATTCTTTGGTGACCCTGTCTTCTAGTCTTGTCTCTTGGGTACCAAAGAGTTACTTGCTTCCCATTTATTTATTTTGCATTGTAACATGTGCCCAGTCCAAATAGTGTCTATTCTTGAGAGTACATCTGTTATATTAGTTCTCCTATTTTGAATCCGAACATATGCCCAGTCCAACTCTATTTTAAATAGTCTATTCTTAAGAGTACAAATGTACTCAAATTCGAAAGTGCTTACATAGAAGCTTGTGCTTAAATAGAGTTGGACTGGGCATATGTTAAGATTCAAAATAGGAAGTTTATTTGAATAAATGATTTTCTATTCTATTCTATACTATACTCTAAAGAATAGACGATTCATAGGTACATTTGTCCTTCTGATATATCAGTTTGTGATTAATCAAATCTTGCATGTCAAGAGTAACTTTATACAATTATAGGTAGTTCTGGTGGTGTGGTGTAAAATTAGACTGCATATTTCAATTGATAAAAAGTATATTTATATTATTATTTACATATAATACTATTTATATATATTATAATTTCCGATAATTGTGTTAATAAAAGGAAAGAACTAATACCTAGAATTTGTGGACGGACAGGCAGCGATTTATTTTATACTATGTAATGGTTATAATGGCTCTTGCATACATTGGACTGTTGTATAACATTGCAGGCAAGATGCTGGGAGGTGGAAAGTTCCGGAAAAACAGTACCCAAAGCTGCACAGAGCATGGATGGACCTATACTCGATGTGGCATGGCACGATGTAAGGCATACTATACAATACAACTTTAGTTTTACTTAATGCTAGCACTTTTGCCTCTGCTAGACCACGACGGCCAGGTGGTCTACCGGTTTAGCCGTCGCCCTACTTCCGATTGTCACGAGTTCGATTCCTCGCACGGTACAAACATTTGTATTCATGAATATGATTGTTTGTGTCTGGGTGTTTTCTATGTATAATATGTATGTATTTACGAAACAAAATATATATTATTTGTATCAGTTACTTGGGGTACTAAGTAACTGATACACCACATATAACAAGCCTTAGCTAGCTTAACTTGGGTCTAGATCAGGGTAGGCGAACCTTTATGCATCAACATGGCATTTTTTCCAAACAATGTTTAATGGGGTCATTGACGTGCCATCAAATAATTTGGACTTTGGATTTATTATTACTTGGAAAATAATAATAATAAATACTATCAAAACTCTCTATGAAATAAAGTAAACAAAAGAGGTACATTTTGTATTGCTTTCATTACACGCATAAATTAAATTACTGTAAAATTAGTGTGACTTCTGTAGCTGCAGGTTAGATGACAAATAATGTATGTCAGGCTTGTACGGTGTTAATTTTAGCAAAATGCATGCTGAACTGGATTCATCTGTCAATCGGTTTCTAACCGAGTTTTTAATGTTATTTATCTCTGAAAATGTTATTAATGACTCGCAAGCATAGTTAGATGAAAATAGCATGAGCCAGTTTCTTCAAACAGTTTTATGATCGACGACGTGCCCAAAATATTGTGTCGCGTGCCATTGGTTCGTCTAGATGATGCTGTGTGAATTGTCCTGAGATAATTATTATTGTTATTACAGGATGGTAGTAAAGTATTCATGGCATCCACTGACAAAAGTGTGAAATGCTGGGATCTGGCCGCGAATCAGACTATGCAGGTATGGATATATCATCTAGACTAATTTATCTAATATTAATTTTATTAACCGTTTGAGTGCCATGAGTTATTACTCGTGTATACCTAAAAATGCTAAAAAAAATCGTTGATTATGTTTTTCTTTCTTACAAAAATCTTTAAAAAATCTCTTCAAAAAAATTATATCTAAAGCCCAATTTATACTCGACCCGAATGGGCACATAAGTGAGCACGGAATTGAGCAGCGCGAGAGTGTATACACGATACTTACCTTGCTACTGGCGCTGTCCCTTCGATTGTCGGTTTTCGTGCGCGAGTCAAAGGACTGGCAGCGTGTGTTTACTTCAGCCCTCTCGCTCAGTTGTCGCCCGGCAATATTTCCGGCAGCGCGAGTGGCAGGGGAAGCGGATGAATGTAAACGTACCAACTAATTTTATTAATCGTGTCGGCGCCATGGGTTTTCTTCTCTTGAAAAAATTCTCTTCACTAAAGCCCAATTTACACTCCCGAGTGGGCAGGGGAGTGAGCAGCGCGAGAGTGTAAACACCCATGCCATTGGCGCTGCCGCTCAGTTGTCGCCCGGCAATATTTCCGGCAGCGCGAGTGGCAGGGGAAGCGGCTGAATGTAAACGTAGCATAAATACTAATGTTATTAATCGTGTCAGTGCCATGGGTTTTTACTCGTGTATGCCTAAAAATGGTAAGAAAAATCGTTGATTATGATGACATATACAAAACTCTGTATCTCGTGAAAAATCTTCCCTTTACGTCCATCCACATTCATATTATACACTTTCCATAAGTCATGATCCTCGTTCCTCCGAATAACATGCCCATACCAGCCTGTTTGCCGCACTAAACTAGAAAAAAATAAAATCATTTGTTCCGTATAGCATAATACAGAGTAATACAGAGTATAGAAAAACTTAAAAGCTAATATCCCGCTATGAGCTGAAAGAGCCTCCACTCGGATGATGTCAGTGTAGATTTTCAGTGTATATAGTGTGTGTGTATGCAATATAATGTTTTTTATAATCCAACAGGTGGCGGCACATGACGCTCCAGTAAAGACATGCCACTGGATCAAAGCTCCGAACTACACCTGCCTGATGACCGCCTCCTGGGACAAGACACTGAAGGTAAGAGTTTTTATATCATAGTGACATATATATTGACTATTGTTGTTATCCATAGGCAACAATAATATTGTCTATTGTTGTTATCCATTGGTAACAACAATATTGAGTATTGTTTTTGTCTATGGATGTATGAAAATGGCGAACATCTGAGTATACACCAAAGACAATTATAGAGTTACTAGCTGACCAAATAAACATTGATTTGCCATATAAATTAAAGTCTCTTTTAAAAAATATGTGTTGATCATAGAAGAGTGAAAATTTAAGGATGTACGTATTTTTTAATGCCACATTATTAAATAAAATAAAAATATTTTTTGTCGAAAAATGAAAAAAATATTTTTGGGTTGAGCCACCCTAACAGTTAGGGGTATAAAAATTAGTTATAAACCTATTGTCAGACCTACCTATGTATATAAAATTTCATGAAAATATGTCAAGCCGTCGGAGGATTATTATATAGAGCATACTTAGGGACGGACAGACAGCGACAGCGACTTTGTTTTATACTATGTAGTGATTAATTTATAAATCATATATAAGGATTTATATAATTATTTCTAATGATATTTGGTCATTCCCTAGCACTCTAGAACGTGTCTTATATAAGCAGCCAATGAGTATTTACTATTCGTTACTAAACAACATTCATACGTGTTGTTTATTCGTTTCAGTTCTGGGATACGAGAAGCAGCCAGCCCATAATGGCGATGAACCTCTCGGAGAGATGCTACTGCGCTGATGTTGTGAGTATTTACCGTTTATCTTCACCACTCCAAGTTCTCAATCATCTTCACACCAAGTTCTCGATCATCTTCACACCAAGTTCTCCATCATCTTCACACCAACTTCTCCATCATCTTCACACCAAGTTCTCGATCATCTTCACACCAACTTCTCGATAATCTTCACACTAAGTTCTCCATCATCTTCACACCAAGTTCTCAATCATCTTCACACCAAGTTCTCCATCATCTTCACACCAAGTTCTCAATCATCTTCACACCAAGTTCTCGATCATCTTCACACCAACTTCTCCATCATCTTTATACCAAGTTCTCGATCATCTTCACACCAAGTTCTCAATCATCTTCACACCAAGTTCTCGATCATCTTCACACCAACTTCTCCATCATATTTACACCAAGTTCTCGATCATCTTCACACCAAGTTGTAATCCTTGAGACTCAATATTGGAGCTATGAGGGTCTCGGTGGTCTAGCGGTTTAGCACACCGCTTTCTGATGGGTGCGGGTTCGATTCCTCGCACGATGCCATCATTTGTATTCATAAGTGTAACTGTTTGTATTGGTCTGGGTGATTTATATGTGTATTTCTTATGGATGTTAATGAAATGGTGCACCCGCCTGCGCTAACGATTTACGCTGGCGGGGCACCAGTGGAGGATGATAAGATGAACATGTCTACAGGATTACCCAATGGCGGTAGTTGGTACAGCCGACCGCGGTATCTGCCTGTACACACTGGAGGGCAAGCCAGCGGAGTTCAAACGAGCGGAGGCGCCCCTGAAGTACCAGCACAGGTGTATCGCTATATTCCGCGACAAGAAGACAAAACAGCCAACCGGCTTCGCGTTAGGCAGCGTGGAAGGCCGCGTGGCGATACAATACGTGAATCCCATCAACCCTAAGGATAACTTTACGTTCAAGTGCCATCGGTCGTCGCAGGGCAACACTGGGGGTTATCAGGTGTGTATATTTTTTTTATAGATGACTAGCTGTTCCCGCGACTTCATCCGTGTGGAATTTAACTTTATTTTTCTAAAATAAAAGTAGCCTAAGTTACTCCTTATTACATCAGCTACCTGGCAAAAAAAGTCCCGTCAAAATTGGTCCTGCCATTTTAGAGCCGACAACAGCCGAAACAAACAGACCGACAGACAGATAAAAATTTGTTATTTTGGTGTATGTACCATATTTATATTCATACGCATGTAGTAAAAAACGGTTATTTCAATATTAAAAACAGACACTCCAATTTTATTTATATGTGTAGATAATGTAATGATAAGAAATAGAACGCTTTATTCTAAATCCTTTTCTGTTCAGGCTGTCAGGTTATGGAACGCACTCCCCCCTTGCATTCGGAGCGCTCAGTCACTTGCTAGTTTCAAAGTGTCTGTCAAATCCCACTTTCTTTCCCTTTAAGTTCATATTGTCCTCTTTGTCTCGTAGTTCCCTTCATATTTTCTGAAGATATGTGCATTATTAAGTATATTGTAAATTTAATATTGTAATGGGTGAAAACTGATCGGTACAGCCTATGCTGTAAATAATATAATTGACGTAGTGGAGTAACCTGAAACAGTCATGCTCGCTATAAAGTTCAAACTTGTGGCGGCGTGGTGGGCCGGGTCGATGTGCTCCCTCAAATATGGTTGAGTACAACAGGCTGGCTCATACGTCATACTCGTGAACGGGTGCTGCTTGTGGGGACTGGTCTGTTCAGGTTGTGAACACTGATTAAATTTTTTGTTCTTTGCGATAGCATATGCTGGTGGTCACTCTATTCTCCCAAATATGAATTTTAATGACTGTATATTATTATAAACATGTTCCACTATTATTTGAAAAAAATACGAGCTGAGTTTCTTGTCAGCTCTTCTCATCTCGATATCATTCCGAACTGACGGTAGATTTGACATATCATAAGAGTCTGGAATAGACCTACATGAATAAAGATATTTTGAATTTGAAGTATATGTATGTTTACGTATGTTCATATTTTATTACATATATTAATAGATATATTTATGTACAAATGTATATGTATATATATATGTTCATTACGTGCACTACCTATCCCTTTCTTATCTTAATGTTACTTTCTCTACTGGTAGTCTGGAAGAGATTGCTTAGCGATAAGATCGCCTTTTGTATCAGTTTATGTAATATATCATTTTGTGTGTTTTCTTTGTCTGATGCAATAAAGAGTTTAAATAACATAAATAGAACGCTCCTGTAAGGCTTACTGGTAAACACTTCAACACCATACCAACCCTTTAGCAACAACTCTTGGACTCCAGATTACGTATGCAGGCTGAAAAGGTGACATCTGGCTACGATTTAACACAGCAAATGTATAGAAAAGAAGGACCAGATTACTAGATATGGTAACTCGAAGCGACAAATAACTAAAGCTTAAAATATGATAAAAGCTAGTTGGCTGATTGCAGATAGGTTAAGTAAAAAGTAAAGTAAGATAAGGAAAAAAAAGAGGATAGCTTCTTAACATCACTGGTATCTATCTGTAGTATCTGAGAGTTAATACTGATACTGATACCTATCAGGGATGTTATGGATATGAAATTTCGGATACGGATGCGGTTATGAAATTATTTCGGATTATCTGTTAGTTTCGGATAATTTCGATTACGAATATGATTTTTTAAAGAATTTCAAAAGTAAAATACAAATAGCTAATAAAATGGTTACATAACGTGTTTCAATTAGGCTCCTCCCCTATCCGATATCATCCGAAACTTTTATTTCGGATTCGGTTACGGATATTTTTTTATATCGGTTACGGTTACGGAGCTCCTCAACATCCCAGAGCTCCTCAACAGTATCTGAGAGTTAGCAACATGCTAGTTGGTTCTTTGTGTTAAAAAAAATTATGTTCCCAGGACATATATGCCGTGAACGACATAGCGTTCCACCCCGTGCACGGCACGCTGGCGACGGTGGGCTCGGATGGCTCATTCTCATTCTGGGACAAGGATGCGCGCACCAAGCTCAAGTCCTCGGAAACTGTTGATCAGCCACTCACAAAGTGCGCCTTTAACCACAACGGACAGATCTTCGCCTACTCAGTTGGATACGACTGGTCCAAGGTAAACCATAGATTTTTTTTTTTGTGTAACTTTATTGAATTTGAATGATAATCATGCTTACGGCCGGGCTGATGACAAGTGGCAATTGTCTCTTAACAATAACACTGGATATTCACACAGCATCATCTAGTCCAAAGCTATGCAGGGCTTATGTTATGGGTACCAGACAACTAATATAAGTATATACCTACACTTGTAATATTTCTGTCAACACTTGAGACCCTTCCATTAACATAGATTGAAGTTAAGTGGAAAATCAGTCTACGTCCCGACTCCGTGTCGACTGGACGCATAATTAATAAGTCATGTAGTACACTACTAATAAACTTAATAATGTACAATAAATAGTACAATTATTTCACTTGTATACTCACTACCTACATACTACAATAAATAATATATTATGTAGCGACACCTCATTACAACATATATAACGCTACAGTGATGAAGATAACCACCGCGCTACACGTACAACAATATTAATTTAAAAGAGCTACACGCAAGTATCTTTATATTTTTTTTTTATTGGGTTGTTTGGGCTATTGTCAGATACCTGAACCTGTAGCACTGCGACCTGCATAGATCTATTGTGCTCGCCTTTTTCAAAGTTCGCTACCTAGACCGATCAGGGACAAGAATTGAAGGATATTCTTAGGAACGATGGTTTTTATCTCGTCGGGAAAGAGTGTAAACTTTCCAAGGGAGATATTTTGTTTATGCATGAGTGGGCCACAACCACATAGGATATGTAGTGGTAATGGATCTTTATATTCTTGTGACGAGTCTGAGTTGAATAAAAAGTATAACTAAATAAAGTGCTTATATTAAGTACATTTGAATCAATTTTATATGTATTTTATATATAAAATTATTGTGTCACAATGTTAGCTACTAAACTCCTCCGAAACGGCTTAACCGATTTTTATAAAATTTTATATACATTTTCAGTTTGTCTTAGAATCGGCTACTATCTATTTTTTATACCCCCAAGTGATAAGGGTTGACAATTTCTAACATTTATTCCTATTTTTTTTTTCAGGGACATGAAAACTACAATCCCGCCAAGAAGAACTTCATATTCATGCGTGCGTGCTTCGACGACCTGAAGCCGCGGACCACCTGAGCCCAACTATCCACTTTTTTTTCTATGTAATTTTATATGCAAACACCATTACGGCCCACCAGTAATATATCGTAGTTTGCTCTTATATTATTTTTCTTTTTTTTTGTAATTGGAGTGGCTGACATAACGGTCTACTAATATCGTATTTTGGACTCTGTTTTTCGCATTTAGTCTCTCATTTGGGCCGATCTGCGTTGAGTCGAGACTACTAAAGTAGCCAAGCTCTTCCCAGAAGCGCTGGCAGATATAATGGACCACCTAGTATTGTATTTTAGACTTTATTTTCGCATTTAGTCTCTCATTGGGGCCGTTATGTGTTGAGTCAAGACTACTAAAGTAGCCGGCCAAGCTCCTCCCAGAAGTGCCAGCAGACAACGGCCCACCTGATAGTATTGTTTGTTGGACTCTTTAATTAGGCTATCATTTGGGCCGTTATGTGTTGAGTCAAGACTACTAAAGCAGCCGGCCAAGCTCCTCCCAGAAGTGCCAGCAGACATAACGGCCCACCTGATAGTCTTGTATGTTGGACTCTTTAATAAGCCACTCATTTGGGCCGTTATGTGTTGAGTCAAGACTACTAAAGTAGCCGGCCAAGCTCCTCCCAGAAGTGCCAGCAGACATAACGGCCCACCTGATAGTCTTGTATGTTGGACTCTTTAATAAGCCACTCATTTGGGCCGTTATGTATTGAGTCAAGACTACTAAAGTAGCCGGCCAAGCTCCTCCCAGAAGTGCCAACAGACATAACGGCCCACCTGATAGTATTGTATGTTGGACTCTTTATTTAACCTCTCATTTGGGCCGTTATGTGTTGCCTATTAAAGTAGCCAAGCTCCTCCCAGAAGCGCCGAAGCCTGGTGTCTTGAGAGCGACCTCACCGTTCCTAGGATTTGTATGCGTTGTGTGGCCACTGCAAGCGCTCTACAATAACGTGAGCGATTGCAACGTACACGTAACACCACTGGTGTTTCAAGCGTCCATACGTTACCATAATCGCTGGTTTCTTCAATTAGCCCCTCATCCCAATTGGGGCCGTTATCCGTTGAGTCAAGACTAAAGTAGCCAAGCTCCTCCCAGAAGCGCAGAAGCCTGGTGTCTTCACAGACTTCACGGAACGACGTCATCGTTCTGAGGATTTGTGTATATGTGCGTTGTATGGCCACAAGCATTCCAGGATTACGTGAACTCACACGTAACATTCCTGGCGTTTCAAGCGTCTATAGCCTACGGGAACCGTTTACCATCAGATGGGCCATATGCCTGGTTGCCACTTACGTGGTAAAACAAAAAAAGGATTAGTATCATAACAGTGCTATTAACATCTCGTCCCTATATGATGTTTTATTGTAGCCCACTGGCGTTCTAGAGGGCTAAGATATGTTGTAACTTGTATTTATACTGACTTTTTAATGGATTTATATTATTTTGTTTAATATTAACATTTAACATGTGTGAGATCAAAAATATTCAGTGCGAAAACCTGAGTACTGTTACGAGCTTCTCTAAAGCCCGATTTACACTTGGTCCGGAAGTGAGTATCGCGAGAGTGGAAACACTTCCTATGACATTGGCGCTGCCACTCGCGCTCCCTAGATTGTCGGTTTTTCATGCGCGAGTCAAAGGGCTGGCAGCGCGAGTGCCAGCCTGTGTTTACATTCTGCCATCTCGCTTAGTTGTCGCCCGGCAATATATTCGACAGCGCATAAAGTTGATCAAATTCCGACCGTTATTGCATCTAAACCCATATTGCGACACGTGTTTCAATTTAATAATTAAATGCACTTCTAAAATAACACCCGGGGCCGTTCAAGTACTACGTAAGCAGATTTATTACAATTATTTACCTACACCCCCCCCCCCCATCCCCCTTGTCAACAAAACCCCCCTCCACCCAATGCTTACGTAAATATTTTTAATTAATGTATTTATTTTTTTAGCAAAGACAATGTGAGGGTTGCCATTCGTGTAAGAAAGTAAATAATTACCGATGACGTAATCATCATCTAGACTCCCCTACCCCATAGTGCTTACGTAATACTTGAACGGCCCCCCTAAATCGATTTAATTATACTGACTTTAATCACGTATCAACTGAAATACCTTACAAATGTGATCTGAAGTAGGTGAAACAGAGATACCACTTGTAAATAGTCTACCTCGGTTAAAATGATAGTAGTTACATTGCGATGTTAGTTTATACTAAAGTTATAGCCCGCGAGCCAGCGACATGTCAATGTGACCAATTTTCTCCCTGTTGAAAACTTCTAGATTGATTAAGTTAGTTATATTATGAATTTTAGTGAACGTTACCTGCTGTTCCAAGGTTGGATTGAATCTTTGCGAGGGTCCAGGGCAACTGATTTCCACTAGATTTCATAATACAAATATATTGACCTTGGAAGTTTTGGCCAGAGGAAATGATTGACGAAATTAGGCTCTGGCTCGCGGACTATAAGCTATAACCATCTAATTGTTTAAAATAATGATTGCAGGCCATAAAGGCCATTTGTAGGCTATGATTCAATATTTGTTTATTTAGTATTTGTCGTGTAGATGGCAGATTTCTTAGATTTATTGAGCGGAGCGCGAAGCGATCTTACAGATCAGATTTGCACTCTTGATTTGTAATTTGTTTATTTAGTATTTGTCGTGTAGATGGCAGATTTCTTAGATTCTTTGAGCGGAGCGCGAAGCGATCTTACAGATCAGATTTGCACTCTTTGTAACGATACTCCTTCGAAACGGCTTGACCGATCGACACCAAAACTTCATTGTAGGTCGACCTATGGGCCTCCATCGTTTACCACTCAAAAAAAAATCCGATCGGTCAAAGAGTTAAGAATAAACACACTCCGCTCAACATTAGTCCCGTTACTAAATCGACAATCGATAGAAAGGTTTTTTATCGATATGTAAAGTTGCGTTTACGTTGCAATGCTAGTTGACAGCGTCAAATGGCGTCAATATAACGCATTATTGACAGATGATGTCATTTTCAGTACGTTACATATGAAAATTGTTACGATTGAAGTTAGATAATTAGCCCACTGCTGTGTCAACAACACACCGGTAAACCTAGTAGTAAGTATACATCAATAATATGTAAATAAATGTAAAATTATTACATAAAATTGTGTATTGTATTTTAGAAATTCAACCTTAAAGCTAAACTTTAGAGTTGATTTTCCAAAACTTAAATGTTTCACTTAATGCAGTTTATTATTAAGTGTGTTATATAGAAACCATACTTGTGAATACAAATGTAAAAATAATAAAGTTGTACTAGATATATTGATCTAGTACCAATAACTAGCTCTGCTTAGCTTGAGCCTAGATGGCTTTGTGTGCAGGGGCGGATCTACCTAAGGTCTATATGGACTGCAGCCCAGGGCCCCGTGGATGCCACCAGCCCCCACTGACAACAATAATCAAACAGAACTGGAATTCTCTGTTGCTTGTTTTTGGTCTGTGTATTTTTTTTAATAATATTATTGGGTAGGGCCCTAAGTTTTAGCCCACAGATTCACGATCCGCCCCTGACTGTGAATTATTCTGGTTTATAGATAGATAGATGAGATACAGAAACAACACAAATTAATAAAAGAAATGTAGGTGACTTTATGTGCCGCAAAAGTGAAACGGCAGCCAACTCAGCATAAAGCTACAGATAACTCTGCAGCGCTGATATTCTGTTGGCTCCTTACTTATACTATACTTATTACTAAGAAAAAGACATAAATATTAAACTTCGAGCTCTTTATCAAAATATAAAGTATGAATGAACTGTAAATAATGTGCTAAATTATATTATTAAACTACTTATACTACATAAATACTATAACAAGGATCACACATATATTAATATGGTCAAAGGCTCCGCGAGACTGATGATGACGAAGATATGATATTGTTATGATTTCTGTTAATTAGTATTTGTGTAAAAAAATTGAAGTGGTTACTGTATGAGAAGCATATTTTTTATGTTATTATTTGCATTTACTAAGTAATTTAGAAAGTAAAGTCTGAATTTGTAATGATGCTATTTCAGATTTGTGATTTAAAAATTTGTAAATATTTCGCTTGATTTGTTTTAATCTAGCAAACTATAATATCATAGTTAGTTGAGTCTTAACAGGAATCCCACTAATGTTATAAAGGCAAAAGTTTATGAGTATGTATGGATGTATGACTCTTTCACGCGAAAATTGCTGAACGGATTTTGATGAAACTTTTCAGTAATATAGTAATCATAATATATAGGCTGTAAGTTCAAAAGATATTATGTAACCAGTAAAGGGGCTGTCCATAATGTGTCCACGTGATCTTTTTTTAATTTTTTAACCCCCCCTAAACCTCGCCACCTCACCACTACCCCCCCCCCTTCTCCCCAAGCCAACATCACGTGTATGTTTACTACCTACAAAGAATGTAAAATTTTTTAGAAATCAGCTTTAAATACAGGTATAAAGTATAATCTTATTTTATTCTTAAATTTAAGGACCATAATAAAAATGTCTATGCAGAAAGGTTGCAGATTGTTTTTGATCGGCATAAAATAAATACACGTGATGTCTTACTACACCCCCCCGTCTTAGGATATTTTGTGATTTTTGTCAACGGGGGGAGGGGCCGTTTTCAAGCCTCACGTGATTAATGGATGGCCCCAAATCAGGTATGTTGAGACCTGGCAAAGTGACTATGTGTTCTAAATATGAAGGTTGAAAAGCAACCTTGCGTCGTGTTGTATGAAACTATTATAATAAATTACAGTTTTTCAATTAATATTGTGTTCATATTTTAGTGTGACCATAAATTATGTACCGTGCCCTAGGTACGTGCGTGGAGAGGCATAGGAGGGTACTGATTGCTTACGCTTACGGAGGTTGTTATTTACTTGTCCCCCGCCTCGCCGCACATACCTAGATCCATCCGATCGATATTGAGCCGAGGTTCCAACCCCTAGCAGTGCTGTCAGACTAAACTCGTATCCGTCAGGTGGGAGTTGACCTTCAGCCACTCCATAAGCCCTTTCGCGGGTTTGGAGTGCCATCTGCACTCGCCCCCTATCGTCCGGTGGAGCTGTAAAGGCCAGCTGCGGACAACCATTAGAGTAGTCCGAAAAAAAACATCCTAGGGCGCGGTACTGCGTTATGGTCATATTTTAGAATTACAACCTTAAGCTATTAAATTTTAACACACAAATTTACTTGTCTCATTTTAATGAAATTGTACCAAGAGACTTGCAATCTAATAGCAATTGTGACAATACCATCTTTACCATAAGGGCACACGGGGCCCGTGCCCAGGGCCCCCATTCTCAGGGGGCCCCCGAAGGACTGAAAATTTTTCTCACACATTCTCAAAAGATTTTTGTCGGGCACACTACACTTTTTTCACAAATCAGTAATGTTATCGGATGGTATTTACAATGCATATACTACGCCATTATACCGATTACTTCGCCTATTCCTATGTTCTTATACCTAATGAGCTTTTTTTACTTTCCAAAAGCGCCCCGAATTCTTGTGTGCCCAAGGGCCCCAGCCTAGTTTAAGACGGCGGTGATTGTGACATGTCTTTTTTAACAGTTGCATAAACTATGACAATGTCACATGTCACATTATTCCAAAGCAAAAGATTGTTATTGCAACAGGTTATGAGATTCGCCATAATTATTTTAGACGCATATCTAATTTTCAATAAATATTTTTGATGAAAATTAGATGTGACATCTTGAAACTACTGAACAGGACGGTAAGGAAAAAATTATAACACAAAAAAATTTACGTTCATAAGCGGCTAAAATGTCCTACATGAATAAATTACATTTGAATTGATTTGCAACAAAATTGTCAAACTTTACAGAGCAAATAAGCCACAGATACAAACTCACTCTCTCGAACCATGATGTTGGCAAATTCTATACATATAAATAAAATTGGAGGGTCTGTTTGTAATATTGAAATAACCGTTTTTTACTACATGCATATGAAATACGGTACATAGACCAAAATAAGACTTATTACAATTTTTGTCTGTCTGTCTATTTGTTCCGGCTAATCTCTAAAATGGCTGGACCGATTTTGACGGGACTTTTATTGGCAGTTAGCTGATGTAATAAGGAGTAACTTAGGCTACTGTTATTTTAGAAAAATAATTAAATTCCATGCGGACGAAGTCGCGGGTACAGCTAGTCAAAAATAAAGAAAAATATATATAATGGTTATATTAAGTTTATTTTACAAATAAAGAAGCCACATTAACAGTATCAAGTATAATTCACTAACACTATCCTATCAACAATCAATGCTCATCATGGCCGTGCTTGTCTCCGCCGCTTAACAGCTTTTCAGCACCAACAGCCACCACCGTGAGTCCCAGTCCTATGCCGAACCCACGGAAGAACACCTTCCTAGCGCGTTGCCATTTGGTTCCAAAGCCAGGGTGGTACCTCCAAGCTTCATTTCTGAAATGGAAGGGATTAAGGAATAACTCATACTTGTTATACTGTAAAAACATCTATTCAAAAGAACATCACACAAGTTTCTTGCTCATTCTTCTTATGATGAACCTGCATTCCGAATGAGTGGTAGAATCTAAATATGCCTAATCAAAAGTGCTTGCAATGAGTTTATTTGAATAAAGATTATTTCTATTTCTAATATTTAGTACAGATTTAAGTGATTGTTTAAAATATATCTTAAGAGTAATAAATCTATGGTTTGTTATATGTACAGTAAAATTGTAGTAGGCAGACATATTAAAAGATGAGCAGACAATATTAGGAAGGCAGCTGGAAATAGTTGGACTATAAGAAAGGACCTGAATCTGTAGAAAAACTTGGAGGAGGTGTATGTCACATTACAGCAAACTGTTAACTTTCAAATGGAAAAATCATATAATTAATAAACTAACAAGAATACAGTTACTGGAAAATAAATGTATAATTAGAAATTGAATTTTTTCTTTTCATTATTGTATTTTTTTTTATTTTGTCTACAAAACTTGATGTCTTACAGAGAACATAACTTTACACAGATAAAAAACCTTTAAAGTAATACATCCTACTAGATGTATACACAGCATGTATAGCTTAATACTTACAGATAGAAAATGACACTATACAATAATAATTTGTATTAATAAAGAATTACATTATAAAGCTTCTTATATTTCAAGTACAATTTAGTGTTGGTTTAATAGTAAATTTACTATTTAACTTAATAAAAGGATATTATTATTATTAATATTGTAAAATTTGCCAAGTGAAAGTGGAAATACTATTTATATATTTTAGTTACTTATGAATAATAAGTATTTTATATTATTACTTTACAATATTTTTTCCCTGTCCTTCTCTTCAGTATGCAGATTCAACTGAGAAGAACTGGCTGAATAACTCTACTGAATTTCTTTTTTTTTTTTACAACATAAGCAGTCTTCAACATAAGTTATTCAGTTATTTAACACATTTATTTTAATTATCATTACACTGTAATGATCAATAAAATAAATATGAGAAAACAACCTAGGCTACTTAAATTAAAAAATCGTTTATAATTAAATTATTAAAATTTCCTACCTGTTATATGAATATGGACAAATTAAATGGATAAAACAAACCTGATCCATGGGTCACGGAGACCCTTCTTTGCGAGTGCTTGCTCAAGCTCCTCCAACTGAGGAATGCCTTGGATTTGGAATTGTGAGTAAGGTGGAACTTTGTACGGAGGCTCGTGGCCGTGAACACCCATGGCTCTAAAAAAAACTAATTCATAAAGATGTTTTCAAATTTAGAATCTATATGAAAAATTGACAACAAACATAACCAAGAAAATTATTACATAACTTTATAGTTATCTAAAATTAGTTTAGAAAATACGAATATAATTCTAATAATAGTAAAACAAAGAATACGCACTTAATTAATAAATATTTTTGTAAATAGAGTATGTAGCGAAATATTTAATTTTTATTTATTCTGTAAAAATGAAGAATTCTGATTTCTTGACATTCTTTGACAACTTTGATTTGTCAAAGTCAGTTTGACATTCGGTATTGAATAGTGATTGCAACATTCAAATAAATCTAGTTATTTATTATCGATGTGTTATGAGACTGTAAAACGACAATATTGTTTAAAATATGCGCAATTAGAATAGAGTATTTTGAACAGGTATAGTATTATTATTATATACATAATATAAGATACAACAACAAAATTATTTAAATTATTAACCGGGGTTAAAATAACTACAACAACAAATTGTCGCCGCCGTTGTTTCCTTGCTTATATCTTTTAAATTACACAACGGATGTTAATGCAGTTTTCAGCAATAGATAGAAGAATTCAAGACAAAATAGTTCTTCGTGTATGTATAATACATGCGTATTATTTTATAGAACAACTCGATAAATTTAAAGATTTGTTATGCATCCGTGTGAAGCCGGGACGGTTCGTTAGTATATATACAATTGGCAAAATTACATATCAATTGAATTTATTTATAAAATTTTATCGTGTCTATATGAATCTATGTGTTAGTCCAGATATAGGTTTTCTATTTACGATCAATGGAAATAGAATATATAATGGTACTCACTTGATGTAATAATATTTTGAAAATTGTTGAGTACATAGTTTTCTATTATTCAAATAAATCGTCAATTTTGAAATATCCTATGTTAATTATTTTACCGACTTGACGTACGTTAATACAGTACCTACAAACGGTAATAGTTACAGTATCTGTACTAAAATAACTAATTTAATTACCTACTTTGATACTTTGCCATAATTCACAATTTGCAGATTATTAAGCTGAAGAGGAAATGCATCATATATTGTTGTAGCCCACTGACGGATAAATGAAATATCTCCTCTGAAATGTATACCTCCTTTTGAAAAGTACACAGTATACACTCTATACTTGTCAAGGACAAAAATTGAAGGATATTCTTAGGAGCGATGGTTTGTATCTCACAAACCATCGCTCCTAAGAATATTCTTCAATTATTGTCCTTGACAGGTTGACTAGGTACCGAACATTTAATAAGCTTTTTTTATTGACCGTCAATAAAAAAGTCATCATTTTTAAATCCATGCTTCTTGCAGTCAGAATATTTTTTTGTACATAACTGTTATCAAGCACAACGAAGATGCTACGTCGTTAATCAAGATACTAGTTTTAACGTAACATTGTAACAGAACACTTGAGTCGATTAACTAGTTTAGTAGTTTATTTTCTTTAGTTTATCTGCGCCGCGAAACATGATTTGACGCTATCGCATCATACTTGTATTGTGTATTGTTTATAAAATACACCTATCTCGCATAATAGTAGACACGAAAAATAAATCGATAATTTATTACTTTGTGACTTGTAGTTACATTAATAGACTCTGAAGTAATAATTAAATGTATAATAATTTATAAGACAAGTGTTTGTCGGGGGCATTGCCCGGTATTCAAGGGTCGTAAGCTAGAATCGGTTAATAAAAATAGATAGTGGTAATAAATGTTTCGAGACTGTGGTAGTGTGTAAGTGATGATTTTAAATAGAGGGTGATAGAGTAGAAGGGTGCGATGAGCCCGTGGAGTGCCAGGCATGCCGTGGTGGCTGCCGTGGTAGCTCTGTGGGTTACCGCGCCGGCGGTCTTACAAGCAGCCGAGTTTCTTCCATTCCCTGGTACGTACCCGAGTAAAATACTTCCTTTATAACACTTTTATTAATTAAACTGTTATTGTTTTGGCCTTATCTCAATAATTTCCGACGGAAATCAATAATTATTCCGCCTAATGCGGTTGATTGATATTTCGCATCTTTTTACAAATATTCTTTTGACTACCAGATATTTATCTTAGAATAAAAAATACAAATCATAAAAATTCCTTTTATCGCAATATTCCAATGAAGTAGCTAGCATAAATGGATATGGATAGTGTTAAAAAAATTATGTGCGTAACTTACTCAATATATCTTATATGAATAAATGATTTTGAGTTTTGCTTTCTCTTTGTATTACGATAACAAGACTTAAATTATTTGTAAAAGGGTAGAAGACTACAGCTGATATATATATATAACTTCAATATATCTATGAACTAGTTGAATAGAGTGAACAGTAAAAAACACTGACTTGATTTGATTCTAAGATAATTATAATAATAATAATCTAAAGTACAATTCACATAGCGCCATCTATACCGTAAGTATAAGTTAAGCTAACTAAAGCTTGTGTTATGGGTACTAGATAATTGATACAAATACATAGTTTTTTTTCTGTAAATCCATAGAAAACACCCAGACCGATACAAACAATCATACTCATGAATACAAATGTGTTTACAATTATTATTATTATTATCTAAGGGATTAAAAAAGGAAATGACGGAGATAGAAAAAGAGGTGGGTGTAAGATATTTGGGTAGTGGCGGGACCAACATGGAGAAGGAAAGTGTTGGACAGAGCAACATGGAGTCTTTTGGAGGAGGCCTATATCTTAGGCCTCCTATGTCCACTGCCCTTATGCAATGCCCTAGGCAAGCTGATGAACCTAGACAGTGAAATAGGAATAAAAAAACTAACATTAACTTTATCATTAGTACAAAAGCTAAAATAAACTAATTGTTATTATTATATCCATTATACTCATGAATGGGTGCTGCTCGTGGGGACTGGTCTGTTTGGGTTTTTTATTTAATATGGGTGATAATGGAATGGTGCACTCTCTGCACCAATGGTTTACGCTGACAGGGCACCAGTGGAGGATGATAAGATGAGCATGAAGTCAGGTCAGTTAGCCCATCGTGACAAATTCGCCAAGAATTTATCACAATGGTTTCCAGGGGAACCACGTGGAGGTAAACCTGATATGGTACATTGCTAGCAATAAGTGCATCAGTCCACATTACTAACAACCCCCTTTCCCCCCAAGATCTGTTTGGGTTACAAACACTGATTAGATTATTTGGCAATAGCATATGTTGGTCACTTCTAAATATTGATGTTCATAAGTGGCTAAAAGGACATACATGAATAAATTATTTTTTAAATAAAACTGTATTATTGTATACACATCTAACATTTATTTGAAAAGAATATGTGCAGAGTTTCTTGTCAGATGTTCTCATCTCGAAATCATTCCAAACTGATGGTACATTTGACATATCATATGAGTCTGTAAATAAAGATATTTTGAATTTTAATAATTCACTCAACACTATCTATTTCGAAGCAGAGCTTGTGTTATGGGTACTAGACAACTGATATACTTAAATATTTAATCAAATTCAATGTTAATTTTAGACCTTTGTGTCTAAAGGATATGTTGACTCAGAGACTGATGTGTAGAATTAAAAGTAACATAAAACATATATATATTTAATATTTCTTTTATCTTTTAAACTTGAGTTTGAGATTACTTTTGAATTTGAGTTGGATATGACCAAATACGACGACACCAACCTGAGTCTGGGACTGTCCTGGAGTAGGATTGCGGAAGACAGAACAACAAGACACAACGCGCACGTGACTCCCCTGGTGTTTCAGGCGTCCATAGGCTACTGTAACCATTTACCATCAGATGGGCCGTATGCTTGATTGCCACCATCATAGTATATAAACAAAAACAGAGTTCAATGGAGAGAGCTTTTTTATTTGTGTATGATAATGGAATGTTGCACCCGCCTGCGCTAACGGTTTATGGCGGGGCACCAGTGGCTGATGATAAGATGAGCATGAGGTCAGGTCTGTTAGCCCACCGAGACAAATTCACCAAGAATGTATCACGATGATTTCCAACCGCGATGGGGAACCGCGTGGAGGTCGACCTAACATTGTACATTGCTAGCAGTGGGAGATACTAGTTCCCGTTACTTACAATCCCCTTTCCCCCCAATGGAGAGAGCTGAAGGAGACATGCCACAAGACACACTGGTTGCGGGACATTTCACATAATGTGGGAACATTACTACAACTTTGGGAAAATATATTTATTTATACTAGCTGTACATGCGATTTCGTCGGCGTGGCATTTAACTTTATTTTTTTTTAATTAAAGATTTTTCTAAACTAAAAGTAGCCTAAGTTCCTCTTTATTACATTAGCTACCTGCCAATAAAAGTCCCGTCTAAATCGGTCCAGCCATTTCAGAGATTAGCCGGAACAAACAAACAGACAGACAAAAATGGTAAAAAATGTGATTTTGATGTGTGCACCGTATTTATATTCATATGCACGTAGTAAAAAACGGTTATTTCGACATTACAAACAGACGCTCCAATTTTATTTATATGTATAGATATATATATATAGATATCATGGATTCCTATTATATATTATATGGGTTCCTATTAAACTTTAAAAAAAAAGAAACACAGCAATAATGGAACAGTAACCTATGTATATAGCCTGCAACTGTATAGGTATAAATTTAAGGAAATATCTTCGTAGTAAGTGTCTAAATATGTCCTGTATTTGAGCTATTTTAAGACTTCATTATTCAATAAAATCGAATTAACAGCAAACAATCTGTCTGTCTGTTTGTTCCGGCTAATCTCTGAAATTGCTAGCAATTTCAGAGATTAGCCGTTTGGACGGGACTTTTATTGGCAAATAGCTGACTTTTGACTACTGTTATTTTAGAAATATTCATTTAATTTAGAAAAATAAAGTAATATTGCAAAATTCCACGCGGACGAAGTCGCGGGTACAACTAGTACCTAATATTTCTTTTATCTTTAAAACTTTTAATTAAATTAAAAGTTTTAGAATAAAATTTTATTTTATTTATTTATTTTTGTTAGAGATTTATTTAGTTAATTTTGTGTCAATTAATGAAGGCTATTAATTTTAATTAAAAAAAAACACTGAATCACAAAAACTCCTGGAACCTTGAAAAAATATTATTTGTTTATAAATAAAGAGGTCACCTTATCAACTGTGATAAAGTGATCGCTTTGTTTATACATGACCGGTTTTTCTTAGAATGTAGTTATCAACGCACACTCACTCTTGTCCTAC